CATTTTTTTGCTGAAATCCTCCGTTAATCTTTGTGTGTCTGTGTCGCTTTATGTTGCCATTATAGTTTATGTTTGGTTCTCCTTTTCTTCTGGATTCAAAGGTGGGACATATTTAACCCTCAGCACAAACTAGGTCAGATTTCTGAGACGCAAAACACATTCGCATGCTGGAGCCGCATCTAGTCGACTGACAGATATTTAACATGACAATACAATGAAATCATTTGGTTTTGGACTGTTGGTCCCATAAAACAAGACATTTTTATGATGTCACCTTGAGTTGAAGAAATTGTGACTGGCATTTTTTATTTTTTAAGGTGTTTCATGATGTTTTGTTGGACAAATGATCAGTTTAATAATTGAGCATATGATCCAGATGTATCAATGATGAACATAATTATTACTAGCAGTCACATGCTTCATGTATATAGCTACAGTACACCTGTGACAAAGTGATGATCTATGATAAGATCAGATCATCAGTGCTAGACAAGGTCAAACACAGAGGGAAGAAACTCTTGACACTAATCCCAGTTGTGATACATGAGCCATTCAGAGAGATGACCACCTCTCACCATCTTGGTCCGCTCTTTAATTTAACCCTTAAACACGCGTGTACCAAGACATGCAATCTGCTTTGCAACACATGTCACAAACAACTTCCGTTATGTTCCTGTCAACACATCTCTTGTTTTCTTATCTAGGGTGATGATGTTGCACTGAATTTAAATGCAACCTCACTTGATTAATATTATCTTGAGGGCTCACACACATATACACACACATCTCATTCCTGTAATCAGTGACTTTCATTTATCTGTCACTATCTGTCTATCAGCTCCTGGATGTTATGTAGGACGTAGCTCAAGGATAATGAATAACAGCTTTAATAGTGTCTCGATCTCGCACTATAAAGAAGTTCTGCGCTGATGAATAGAAATGTCTGTTTCCATCATCTTTCAAGACGTTTTCTCAGCATTTTTGTAAAAAAAATCCTCAGACTCAAGAATAGAGCATTTACCAACAGGCTCTATTTAAATCACTCCACTGAATTCTGCATTCAGTTATGTTTCTCTGTTAGTTAGCAGGATTATGCAAAAACAGGACTACCATGAAAGTGGGTGGTAGGATGTGGTATGGGTCAAGAAACAAGCTATTGAAATTTGGTGCGGATCCGGATCAGGTGGTGGATTCAGGATTTTTTTTTTGACTTTCTCTAACATTGCGAGATAGAGGACCTTTTGTCAACATTTTCGTTGATTCCTCAGGTAACAATTCATGGATCTTGATGAAAGATATTATGGGAATGATATTTATGAGTCTAACTATTGTTACTATAGTGCAATTTGGTGCAGATGTAAATAAAAATCCGGATGTAGTTGATTTAAATGTGGTTTCATAAGGATACTGTTGGGCCTTGGTGGAGGTATGAGATCTACTGAGTTCTTGTAGTTTCTAGTTACAGCTTTGTATTTATTCTCTGTTCTGCTAAATGTTACTGCAGCTGGTCTGTGCTACTATTATGAGTTAATTAGAACCACATTACACATCTGCCCTAGGAGCCACCAAGCTAGATGACGGAGAGCGTGGTGTATGTGTGTGTGATTGTGTTTTCTTTGGGTTTCACATGTGAACAAGAAGGACAGGAAATATGTACTGTAAGTGAGGAAGGAGGAATGGATGGAGGCAAGAGAAGATGAGAGAGAAAAAGATGAAGGGGGTAAAGCAAGACGGAAGGGAATTACTGATAGTGAGTGGCTTGTTTTGAAGATGGAGAGGGCGTAGGAGGTGGGTGGGAACAAGCGAGAGATAGAAATGCTGTTCTGAAAAGAGGCGGTCTTTGATAAGGTGATCTCTAGTGGTCATGCCTGTGTGATTAGGGTTTATTTCAACCAGTGGGAGATGGAGTTCAAGTCTATTATTAGTTGATGCTGTGGGCTATGATATCTGACTTGAATTTCTCAGTCACACATATTTTTTGGGGGGTGCATTGTATATATGTGTGTTTGTTGATAGTATGGAGCCTCTGCACTCATGATGTCTGTGCACTTACACAAAAAAAAACTTGCGTACGAGGAGTTCTCAGCTCTACTCTATTATTTACAATTCTCTTTCATTCTCTCCTGCAATTACCCTACATTCTTCTCTCCAGCCCACCGCGTCTAGACCACCACCAGTGCCACGCCGTTTATCCTCAGTGATGCTTCTGTGTTCAGCTGTGTCTGTTCTCCTCAACACGCCCATCAGTGTTTTTTTAATGTCCTGTCAGTATTTACAAGTTTCCACTTTACAGACCCTCCTGTTTTTTTATCATCACATCTCCAGCTGAAGTGGATTTGCTTGCTGTCTGAAATTCATGGGGAACCTTCCTCCCTAAAGGCTTTTGAGTCTGGTTTGTGTGGCACAGTCATATGTCTGAGTCTGACATCTGCTGGGGGGACTGAATTACTGCAGTCTAACAATGACGGCAGTACCCGTGTTTTAATTCTGTTCAGACAGAGCACAGATAATTAATTTACAGTCTGCAGCCTTCAAATACCTTGGCTTGTGTGTGTGAGCTATTAAAAACTTGAACTTATATTCAAATGGATTCTCCCTCTCCCTTTGTGATGTGTCCAGAGAGAGAGAGAGGGAGAAAGAGCGAGAGAGACTACCACTGTATGAATTGAAAATGATCCAAGAGGAGGATATTAACTCTGAGCACTGGGGTATTGTGAGCAGGTACTGACTCACACAAGCAGTGGGAGGTGGAAAGGGAGGAGCGGAAAGAAAGATGGGAAGGGAAATAAATGTGCTGTGTATGAAGGGCAAGCTGAGAAATAGAGCGATTGGGGGAGAAAAGTGGTGGAAAATGCATGAGAGGGGGGGGGGAAATATGGCGCTTTAGATAGGGAGGGGGAGAGGAACTGTTCATTCCAAGGTTTGGCTGCATTCCAGGCTGTCTGGCTGCGATTCTGACGGCCTTCTGCTTCTTTTTTTTGTTTGTTTTTTGTCTTATACCTCCAGACTGACTGGACCCTGGAGCTGCCTTCTCCTTAACTGATCCAAACTTTCCAAACTCCAGACATCAAGGTACCAGCCAGTGTTTGCAGCTGGCTGAAAAAGGGAACAGAAGAATGTTACACATATGTCACTTCAGCTTCCTTAATCCCCTCACTGGTCAAACAGAATGTGTAATCACACGGATCAGCTGGAATCTAGTATGACAAACAAACATGGACCTCCTCTCAGACGAGCGGCTGTGTCACCCGCAGCCAGATTGATGGGGTGCACGTTTCCCCCCTCAGAGTTGATGTGGAAAACTCTGAGTGGTAACTTGACACATTTTTTTCATACCAGTGGAAGTGGAGAGAGACTGGAAACATTCCTTGTGGGACAATGGGCTATCAAAGACCCCACTGACCACTCCCTGGAGTTCACAGGCATGAATCAGGCAACAACAGGTTACACAACTACTAATGCAGAGGTTTGAATGAAACAGAACTCCATCAAGACCATTTCACAAGTTCAGTTAAGTTGCTGTGTCTCAACCTGGGTGTGACGCTTTCAGTGAGACTGCAGTGAATCGCTCATACGTACATATGTATTACTCACCTCATATTCACTCGATACATATCTACTTTCATCATTCTCATTCAATCTCACAATCAATTATCAAAAGAGTGTGTCTCTTTGGAAACGTATGTGTAAAAAAATTCCACAAGGTCTGATCAATTTTCAAACAAAAAAGCAAATACACAAAGGCACCCTTGCTGTGGAAGATTTGAAAGGCCTTTATTTGATTGCCTAATGCATGACAAAGATGATAACATAAAATACACCTTCTAATTTATTATTTTTGATTAATCTGCTTAATATTATATATTATATATTTCTTCATATCAATTACTTAATCATTTGCTCAACAAAACATAAAATGTAGAAAAAATGGGTAAAAGTATTTGTTTTGCCTTAAAAATACATCTAAGGTATTCAAAAAGCAGCAAACTCGCATAACTGAGAAGCTGAAACCATCAGATGTTTTGCATTTTTGTTGAAAACTAACTTTTTTTTAACTGCTGATAATTTTCAGCTCTAAACCCAGAATTAAATATCGATATCACAAAGTAAAACCTTTAATTGGCTTGAAATCTCACTTTAATGACATTTTTTAATTTGTAGTCAAAATTAAAATGTAATATATACGATAGAAAAACTGAAAAAATGATAACAAATATCAGAGTCATTTTTAACACTAATGTCAAATGACTCAGTGATAGACATGAGATATTTCTTGTAGAACACAAACAATCACTGGACCTGAAAATGTTAATAAGAGTCAAAGAAAGGTGTGGGCAGTTGTAAAGTGTGTGAAGTGTGAGGTGTGTGTGTGTGTGTGTACATTATGTCGCGGTGGCTGCTGTGCAGGATGGGAGGTGTCATTCAACACTGTGGAGGTTGATCATATCCTCATTGTCGTGACGAACAACAGTTGCTTTTGAGAGAGAGCCATGAAATGTATTTGCTCTGGAACCAGGCGCACTCATCATGCACAGTGAAGCAATCTAACTCGTTGCATGTTTCCTGCCTCAGTGCACAGCAAAGAGAAATGTGGCAGCCCACATGGCAGCAGACAGAATAATGCCTTTACAATCTTGCTTTCTTGTTGAGGCAAGTGGAGGAAAGTCTATCAGAGCAGATAAAAACTTCTTCCACAACCCAGCTAAGCTCAAACATACTTTCTTCAGCCGCTGTGCCTCCTTGTGTTTTTAAAAAAGCCCTAACCGCTCTTACAGTCTGTATCTAATCAAGCCCTTAGCCCCATTATCTCTCCCTCCCTCTGACTCCCTCAGTCTGACCTTACAAGGAGAGGCAACAGGGTTGATGTCACCGAATGAAGAATGCTGCAAGAATCCAGAGAGAAAGGAGAGCAGGAGGAGGAGGGAGAGGGGGAAGAGGAGGAGGAGGAGGAGGAGGAGGGGTCTGACTGGACAGTTTATGAACACACACACAGAGGGAGAGAGAGAGAAAGAGAGAGAGAGGGGTAGAGAGAGGTGCTGTTTACATAGTGATACACAAGTCCTGAGCCAAAGTCAAACAAGAAAGAACTTGTTAGGAAGGATGGTGTCATTCCTTTTCCAGAGCGAGAAGCACAGGGGGAGGGTCTAGTAGCTGGAGAGAGGGGAAGAGACAGAAAAAGAGAAGTTACCGTTACAGTCAACTCTTACTCAGCTGCCACCTACAGAGAGAGGGAGAGAGAGGGAGAGAGAGAAAAGAAGAAGAGGAACAAAAGACAGAGGTGGAAGTAAAAAAGGGAAGAGATCCACACTGACAGGGTAAGTGATTGTAGCTGCGGGGAATCAGGATAATAAGAGGTGGTGGTACTGCTGCAGGTTTCCTAATAAGGTAAAAACCTCGTGTCAGTGCATGTGTGATGATGTGATATAGTTCCTCAGTGAAGTTATGGCACCTCTGTGTGTTTTGTCACATGGCAGCTGTTGTAGCTTCCTCCATGAGACGTGTAAAAGCTGCAGCACACTGTGGTTGAGGGGTACCTGGTGGTGGGCGGTGGTCCTCGGCCTGCTCTCGCCTCCCTGGTTCTGTTTTCGTGCAGTAAATGTGACTAAATGTCCCTGGAGGTGCTGCAGCCTGATACAACCAGCTGATAGCTAGCGGGCGATAAGGGAGTGAGGTACGCGGAAGTGTAGCCACCGGGCGGACGGGGCTGGATGTCACAAACGCGGCTGTGAGCCTGTGTGTGTCCGTGGAGCAGGAACTTGATGAGAGAAGCCGCTTGAGGTAAGAATCAGGGGGGAAAATGGGGCGTTTCGGTTTCAACAGAGAAACGTAGCCGAGGCTGAGAGAGTGTGGTTCCGATCTGAGCTAACGTGAAGCCCGGGTGTGATTGTTGACGAGAGACGGAGAGGTGACGATCACGTTTATCACAGGGCGGCTAAGTGTTGTAGGTGAGGAACAACTCAGCCATTATTTGTTTCCGGAGCTAACGTGTTATGCTAACGGATGCAATCCGAACCAAGCTAACGCTAACCGACTGCATTATCAGGGCTTATGGTTAATATTAGCACAAAGTGATGTGCTTTAGCAACATTAGCTTTTCTAGTTAGCTTTAGCTGCAAATACTCATGTTCTTTTCCGAGAAGTGTTCATATGACCAGGTAGCGGTGAGGGGGTCCGTGAACCCTTGTTATTTACGTTGGTTGTGACCATTCATTCTTGGCTGTCAGCTGTCAGAGCCTCAGCTAACAGTCTGCTAACCAAACCTAATCTAATCGGGGTGCTAAGGTGGGAGGAGCCGAGACGTGGAAAGAAAGTATGTACTTATAAGAACTGAGTGTTAAAGTCTTACAAGGTCTTGGATGGAGCACATGTGCTGAAGTGTTGTTGACTCATCGATAAGATTAAGTATAAAGAAACCTGTAATAAGTTGTGTGCCTTTATCGAGGCCCAGCCTTTCGTACCTTCACCTACATTTGGGGCGATGTCCGCAGGTTACAGGTGTTGAGATTACAAAAACTATTTGTTCTCAGTCAAACCAATTAATTTGTTATCAGTCAGATTTAAGATTTTCTCTGTAGTGGGTGTCAAAAATGTGTTTTCAAATACAATAGACTAAATGAAATTTAAGTACACTTGTACTAAAACCAGTGTAACTATGTTACGGTGTAGTAAACACACTTCTTCTTCCCCAAACCTCAAACCTCAAACAAAGCTATCATGAATAATAATTATATCCACCACCGATACAACAAACATGTGTAGGACCAATCATTCATTCTACAGAGGTAGCCAGAGCAGATGGAATTGGAAGGCACACTGATATAGTACCCAAAATAGGTAGTTATGAACTTCCTCACACACTTAACCACGTCCTTCTGTGATTTTGTTTGCACCTCCAACAAAATGGTAGGTAGCTTTCATGTGCAATAGAATCCTGTTTGTCAGATTTTGGTTTTGTTTGGCCTCTGTTAACATCGTACTCTTGGATAAGGTCTAAACCAGTTTTGCGAAACCTGGATGTGATACCAACTACTTGGACAGAAACAAGGATAATACTTTTGAAGTTTTAGACAAGGCATTTATATATGTCAACTTATTCAGGTAATTTTTGGCGGGCTGAGATAGTAAAAAATCAAGACACAACTATTCAAATGATCAGAAACCAGGACATTATGACCATATATACATAGATATGGATAACCAGGTTTCTCATGTTAAGGCTATATCCAGAATATGATCAAATCCAAGATGAGTGCGGGATTATAAAGGATGTTTGGAGAATACATGAAAGTTATGGCTATTTTGAGTTAGATTTACTACAAGTCTGAGAATGTGAAAATCCTGTGATTATCTGTAGCCACACAGTTGTGCCTGGCCTTCTTGATTTGCCTTTTCATCAGTGAGATAGGAGGGTAGCCACAATCCACAGCCACAGAAAGCTGTGTTCAAGAATGATTTATAGCAGGAAGGCTTTAGTCTGAGGTTTGTGTGGTGCTTTCATTTGAACTGACTTGGATTGTCGTCACTGATGCTCCAGTACATTGGTGAGTCAAATGAAAATGATCCATGAATTGCTAAATGCTACCATTCGTGGCCTGGTTGATAAAGAATCTTCTTTTTTAATTAATGCCTCCATGAGTCAAGACACAGAAGCTATTTTAGGGCGTCCCTGTGCCTCAAATCATTGCACGAATCTATCTTATCTTTGGCCTGCATCGTTTTAATGTATGTCAGTTAAAGTCAGACAGGGCGGCTCACATGAGAGCTTGACATACAGTCCATTTGGCTGATGTTATTACCAGTTTTGAGATGCTGCCATTTCAATCATTCATTCACCAGCCACAGTCCGTGATCGAGCAAAACACTGGTGCTCAATGCATGTCCAGTGACCTGTAAGATTGGACTCAAAAGGGTTGTTTGTCCCCGCATTAGTGACCCCCAGCCCAGACACGCTTTCCCAGAAACTGTGTGCTATTAACATCAGAACAATAGAGAGTTTCATAAACAACACACTCGTCACTGATATAATGACGGACCAGACATGGAAGGAATTACTGGAAGTACTGTTAGAAATTCAGGTTCTTTTAAGGTTAACAGATAAGGAACTTACTTTAGACATTGAAAACCCTTTTCTGATTTCCTTTCTTATGTATTATTCTTTTTTACGATAGCAGTAAATACAATAGCAAGCTTATTACTTATTTGGGATCTTTACCAGAGTTTTTTTTAAACGGGGACATTTTAATGTTTGAATCATTGTGGTACATTGAGGTACTATAATGAAAATATTGCTAAATTAAGAATTTCTCTACCTGCATTGCATTTTTGGGAAAAACGACAAAAACGTTGATTCAATTAGACACCATGCTACATTACCCTATAACCCTTTAATAAGCAGCAGCGCAGTATATAAGCTCCAATTTTGTTCCTCTATGACCACAGGGCACACAATTACTGTTGAGTGAAATAGTTTCATGGTCAATTCCTCCTTAACAGCTACTGTATCACGAAATCTTGCCTGAGATAAAATACAAAGACAATAGAAAGTGTGGGACCTTTGTTTGTTTGAGCTGTTTAATCGTACATGTATGACTTCAAATGCTCCATGCAACTCCCTGTTTTCATGTCTTGAAGAAGTCTGACAGTTTTCCAGGGCAGTTTTTCTTCAACCCAGGTCACAGAGTGCCATAGCCCTGCTGTTTTTTTTATATCCTACAACGCAGTTAGGTCTATTACCTTCTCCCTCACTCCCATGTGTAATTCAGTCCATGATAAGATGGAATGAAAACCAACTGGGCTGCGGTGCCCAAACTCGTGCTGAGGACCAATTTTCTAACCCTGTTAAAGCCATGTGGAGTTTATATAAAGTTCAAAAGCTGCAGAGTACAGTATGTGATGTATGCTGGGGCCTACGTAAAGGCTACAGGATGACACACTCTCAATCAGCTGTAAAGTACAACCTATTAAATTGGAGCCTCAAGTTACATCATTCAGTTTTCCAAAAACGCACAAAAAAACAGATAAAAATGGTTGTTTCTGTTTATGAGATTGTGAAAGTAAGCTAGAATTTAAGACAAGAACTCAGGTCCGTTTATGGTGCAAAAAATAACAAAGAGGAAATTTAGAGAAGGGAGGGGGAGCTGATTGGAGTGTAACTGAAACAGCAAAAAAGATGATGTCATTGAGTTGCGGTGCCAAATATGTTCCTTTAGTCAAGGGTCTCTCTCGTCTCAAGGATCAGGTTTCAAGATAAATTTGAAGTTGGCCTGTTGGGGCTGAGTGTGTAGCTGATCTCACCGTTAGAAATCCCTCAGGTCCGTATCAAGGAAACAGATGGAACCTGACCACTAGTTATTAGAACTCTTGAATAATTGAGGACTGTTGCATATTGTCTCTTAGAGATGAGGTAGCTGAAGTAATTTTATGAAAAGACTAAATCACAGTTCTTACCCACCCTTGTCAAGCACTTCTTCTAGAAAGCCATTATAGATATGTTTGAAGTACTCTGTTAATATTCATACATACAACGCTCAAGAGCTTTATCTCGACTGTTAACAGTCAATCTGTTTTTGTATTAAGAGTCCACTTCATTCAACATGAAGTAGGTTGGATAAATGAATAGTCAACTGTTTTCCATAAGACTGAAGCACACCTGTCTTTTCTCTTTTTCTTTTAGTTTGCCTTTCCACTAAAGCCTCAGCATCTTACCCTACTTGATAATGCAGTGATTTTCTGAATTATTAAAGTGGGACAATGATGTAATTATTATCAGTAGGACAGTGAAGTGCAGTTAAGATTCTCTAGGTCAGTGTTTTTGTATTGTTCTTAAAGGATAGGGGACCAAATGGGTGTGAATCATAAGCATGGTGTGGTTAACTATTGTCTATCTTTGATACATCTGTGATTCATTGTGAGATGTCTCATGACGCAAAGCAACAGCTGACACCTCTGTGTGACTAAAGGGCATCACAGCATCAACCTGGACATATATGGTTAAAATTACTCAACATCAATCCATGTCGCATTGAAGGAAGCTGAACCAAAAAGCAGATGCAGTGCTTTCTCATTTGATGAGCTAGTTCCTGAACTCCAGAGAAACGTTCAGGAGCTGTGAGGGTTGTGTTTGTCTTGTCAGAACTTGAAGTGTTGCCTGTGTGTCCCAACAAAGAGGAATGAGGGTGAAACATTCAGACTTGTCCTGGTTGGTTCCTTTTTCTTTTTCTTTTTTTACAGAGAAAAGCCCCGTCTACCTAATAATTGTCTGAACTGATCTCATTTTCGAAAAGGTTGTTTTCCAAATGCTAACTCAATTACATCTAAATGAGTGCAATCACTCTTCTGTGGCCATTTGAAGGGGTCTAGTTGGGGACACATGAATTTAGAAACCTTTTAGAGTTAATTCAGCATTTGATATTTGGGTGTTAATGTTTCCCTCTCTATGGGGAAAAATGTACACATCAACTCATATGCTGTGAGAGAAATATTAAAGCTAAGGAAAGCTTGTGTTGTTAAGAAATTTGCATCAAAACACAACTTAAAACGCAGTTTTCTATGAGGGATTGGGAGGGTCTCCTTCCATTCTCTCTCTCTCTCTTCATTTCACACTTAATGTCCATCGTTCATTAAATAAAATAAAGCTGGAAAATGCCTTGAATACTTGTAGAGGGGATTGTCGTAGCTTTAGTGGAGCAAACAAACCATTGAATGCATTTATTCAAGTATTTTTGAATTATACATGACTGAGAAAATGGTCCCACACATCTGTACTGTAATTGTGATGGTTGCAAAGCACTGAGGCCTAAATGAGCATCCTTAGGGAAACGCATGCACATTGTTTGTTTACTGGAAAATGTGATTAACGTATTCTGTTACAGGTTATGTGTTGTGGCTGAATGCATGCATGTTTCACAACCTATTAAAGACTGCTTAAATTGTCCAAACACTGGTGCGTTAATCACTGCCACAGGTCTAATCAGGTTTTAATTTTTAGGCGTATGCAACTATTTCAGTGCCTCAAGGATTGAATAGTTTGTTAAATAGCTGCAGAGGGCCAGTACAGATGTGTACGCACGTGTGTTTGTGTGTGTTAGAGGATGGTCTGTGGGGTCGTGCTTTCAACTAAAGGTTATGTTTGAAGGTCTAACGGCCGCCAGGGAAATATGTGCCGAAAAGGAATCTGAACACTGAAGTAGCGTCAACATTTTTTTAACCACCAGAATGTGTGAGGTAAATATTTGAGCGCAGCCTCTCTCTGACGCACCTCACATGAAAATGTTATGATTCCTGCCATGGCCGCTACTTCAAACCAGACGTTCTCTTGTAAACGTACTGCTGCATTTTAAGTCACTGTAAACAGCTGTGTGTTAAATATTGTACACTGTCTATAGCATCTACTGTGTTTGCTCTGTACATACACGTGGCCTGAGGACATTTTTACACACCTTTCTCTCATTCCACTGTCAACCAGTTGTCATTTTTTTTGGTGTATTAAGGGATTCAGAAAATGTTTCTGAGGATTTTTAGAATCCTCAGTGGTTGGTTTCATTTTACTGCTAAATCACCGAATCCAGTCACAATCCAAAGACATTGTGAGCCTCAATAAACCTCCATCTTAATAAGTTAAGCTAGTGCAGTGCATCAGCTCTTACGTGTACAATAGGTGCTGGTCTATATTGTTTACTGTTTTTGTAGTTAATATAAAATAACTTAATGTTTTGTGCTAATAGATGATGACAAACAATATACATAGCACGGCAACTTCAGGAAACTCCTGCCAGTTTTAAAGCTGGAAACTTAACAGAGCGAACAGGGGAAAAAACTGTCTCCCAAATATTTATTGCCCTCATTATTTTCTGACTTGTCTCTGCATCCGCCTCACCACCATCCACAATTTGGTTTGGATTTTATAGCGAGAAGCGACTACTCCATTTTACAATGCACTGGAGGACAGCTTTCTATCAACACCACTGAAAATGTAGTCTGCATGTGAATATAGATTCTTGTTTTACTTCTCAGTGTCAGGGCACTACAGAAGGAAAACCTTGACTTAGTTATTGTGTAGATTTGAATTGTTAAAGGCCAAAATGTTGTTGATGTTCCATCACCACTAATTCACCTGCAAAAGACACAGCAAGCATCACTGCAAAGGCATGCAAAGCCTTTGACTCATGTCAGCTGATTTTCAGTTTGTTGGCTTCAAGTGAGGTGTGAGAGTAAGACTCTGCAGCCTGTTTCCAACCTCTGCTACAAAACAGGCTCTTATATAAGAACTTATATTGTTCTTCTTCGTCTAACTGTTTCCTGTGTTCATCCCCAGATAAATACACAAAATGGAGGACTCTAACAGCAGTAAGCCGGTCATGGTGACATCCTCTCTGAATTTCAAAGTCACCACACCGTCCTTCTACAACCAGCCAAAGAAGTTTGCCTCGGTGGCACCCCCACGGCCAAAAAGCCAGACACCTCCCTCCGCTCCGTCACCAACACCGATAGGCACGGGTCTGATTGGTCGCGTGGGAGATTTGCCCATGCCACCCCCTACGCTCTGTGATGGTATGTGTATTATTGATGCTATTTTCTGAAGCTTTTTCCCAGCTATCTGTATTATTTCCACTCAGTAAGCAGCCCTTTGATATCCAACCTCCTGCTGCTTCTTATGCTCGAGCATGCACAGCTTCACAGTTGAGTTTATGACAGAAATGCATCAGCTGTGTGGTTTTAATTAGATGAGACATTACATTAACGGGCTGTATTTTCCTGCCTATTGGTAATTTTTGTCAAATGTTGATAACGTTAAAGAAACGTGAGCTGGGTATAATTATGTTTCTATATATCTGAGCTGATAATACAGTGTAGTTATCTGTCACACATGTTTTATACTGAGCACATGCTCAAGAACACTGTGTTAGCAGTGTGATATTCACAGTCAAGTTGCTGGTGGCACAATTTTAAGATGATTACTTGGTGGCAGACATTTGAGGAAGTAGACTGCAAGCAGGTTTTAAAATGTTCCAAAAATACGCTTTCAAGAAGTTTTTATCAGGAAGTAAATGCTGCCGAGTTTCTAGTAAGAAACACTGAGTGTAAACACAACATTTCTTTGTTTACATGAATCTCCATGGGGCATCTTTAGAGCCCGAAAACATATGTCAGGATAACCACATTACCAGACAGGACACAATTTGACTCATGTTCTCAGTCGACTTTCAGAGTTAAGAAGCCATCAGAGAAACAGCCAAAGGTGATTGAATGTGTCGCACCTCAGCTTTTTGTCTGATCGATGATTGACAGTGAAACCTGATTGAAAATGAAGAAGTTGTTTTGTCGCACATTCTAACGCTTGTCAACCCTCCTCATTTTTGTCAGACTTCCCACCCCCTCCTCCTCCTCCTCCGCTGGATGATGACCTGCCAGCACCTCCCCCTGAATGCCACACCTTACCCACCGCCTCTGACGCTCCCCCTCCCGCCTTCCCTGCTCCACCTCCTGTAGCAGACGACCTGCCTCTCCCGGCTCCCCCCGAGGAGAGCGCCTGTCCGCCCGCCTGCCCCTCTCCCCCTCCTCCCCCACCCCCTCCACCACTCCCCGTTTCTGGCACCAGTATTCCCAGTGCTGCCTTGAGCCCACAGGTAAGACAAAATGGTGTCTTAAGTTGCCTTGGCCATCTGCATGTTACTTCCTTGTACTGCATGTTACTGCATTTAGGCATAATTTTATCATTAGCTAGGATGCAGGAGGATATTGTTGTGTTTGCACGAAACACTGTCTTTTGAGATTTTCCCACAAATTATATAAACATTAGTCGAGGGTAAATCGCCCATTTTCATGCGTCTAACAGGATTATTGCACATTTATGTCACTGAAACAGTGCGATGAAAGGTTTATTGTAGACATGTTAATGTAGGATTCTATTAAGTGCAGTTGAATTGTCAGGCTACAAAAGCATCAGTGTGTAGAATTAGATTCTGTAAAAAAAAAAAAAAGTAGAGAATTGACTGTGAAATACGTTGTGTTTAAATTAGCAGAGAGCTTCTAAATTCTTCTCAGCAGACAATGCAATGAATTGAAAATTAAATAATTCAGCATGCTCTATTCTCTCTATTCTCTCATCTAGCCAGGGAAATAAAATGTAAATGTCATTCATTTATTCATAGTCATTAATCAAATCATTAAGTTTGTTTGTTTATCATTCATTCTTCTGGTTCCTGTTGTTCCACCACAGTAGCTGTTCCAAATAACTGAGCAAGCACCAAATGTTTGAAACAGTTTGACAATATTTCATCCTACATTTTGAAAAGATAAAAGAACCAAACATTGTTGAGTTTTAATCAAACATTTACAGTGTTTGTCATCGTCATCTAGTTTTTCTGTGACTCATCAGTGTGTCTTCATTCTCCTTCATTTTTGTGATGTGAAGAAATGTGCTTGACTCTGTCTCCATCTGCTTTACTCTTCCAGAGAATGATGGCGAAACAGAGTAGTTTTGATCAACAGCTTGACTCTCTGACTGACCTGCTGTCTGAGATGGAGAACAGGGGACCTTTTAACCCCAAGGTACAAGCATGGAGGGCCAGGGAACACACTGTACAACCTCAGGATACATTAGACAGATCCACGTCCTCCGGAGAGCGACAGAACAGATGAGAGGGAAAGTGACAGCAGACTTTGGCTCACAGGAAGCACGATGTAGGAACAGAGAATGAGTCAGACAGTGGGAGGAAAAAAATAAAACAGCAAGGTCGGTCAGTGGAAGTAGTTTGGTAAGTTGCCAGGTTGGTTTTATTGGTCTTTCCTCGTCTGTTCGGGTTGAAAGCTCAATGATAAGTGAACTGCACACACAGCACAGCAGAGCAAGAGACAAAACAAGAGGAGAGGGAGCTGGTGATTCACACGGAGAGAGGAGACGCTTGCTAAGAGAGACAGAGAGAGAGAGAAAGAGAGGAGTGAGTGAGGAGCATGAGAGTGTGATGAAGCCAGATTGTGCTGCCAGAGACCCAGTAAAAGGGCCATAAATGGAGAGTGTTTTTATCCAACTGGGAGGTACTGGATCATGGCAGAGTAATGTTGGCTCAAAAACGCAAAATAAATGTCAAAATAGACGAAGCACCTCTGATAAGCTCAAACACAGGGCACTTTCAGTTTACATTTAAACTAAGTACCTCATTCAGTATAATTTCAGCATTACAGAAATGTTTCACACTAGATGTGATTTTCTCTGTGTTCAGGTATAGTTTATGGTGAATGTTTTCTGAACAGATTCAACACCAGAACAGCTTCACACTGAATTTGTCTTTCTTTGTTCTTTGTTTTGAGGAAAATGAATCTGTGAAAAATTCACGTTATTCATGTTGTTTTATCCTCAGTTACCGAGCCAGTATTCTTCCGCACCAGCCCCCAAGCCTTCAGCTCCGCCCCCGACTGCTCCCAAACCAGCGCTCTCCTTCCTCCCACCTCCTGAGATGGGAGACCGCCCACCTCCAGCACCTTGGGCCGAAGAACTCAAAGCCAGAACGAACCGTCAAGCCAATCACAACTCAGCACCAAACTCCGCTGCTCAGCCCTTTTCCAAGGCCCCGGCGGTGGCGCCCAAGTCAGGTTTCGGTGGGAGAACGACCAATTCGTCTGCCTCTCTGGCGCAAAAACTGAACCAGAATCTGAACCAGAACCCCACCATCGTCAGTATAGCACCAAAACCATCTCCTCCCTTTGCCACCAGCTCTTTCCCTCCACCACCTGCAGCTCCCCCCGCACCTTCTACTCCACCAAACAACATGGTGGCTGCACCATCGTCTAATCACATAAAGAGTTCTCCCTTTGCCAGTCAAGTCAATGCGAACCAAAACCCTCCTGCAGCTGTGCCTCCCCCTCCTCAACCCAAGATGATGACATCTCCGCCCTCTTCCTTTAACCAACCAATGAAATCTCCCCCTGCATCAACGGTATGTTCCAACTTTATTTTAGCTATGAAGAGACTATGCTCGCATTGCACAAACAGTAGAAAGGTACAGGAAGTACAAATAAATAAATCAACGGATCAGAATTATGCCTTTCTGGACACTAACAGCATTTTCGAAGGTAAATAGCTCAGTCGTAAATAACAACATGCTCTGTAAGACATGCTGTATAAAAAAAATGTAAATAATGTATAGGCACGTACTAATGTTTTTTCGTGTCTGTGTGTGTGTATTTTTGTGTGTTATCAGCCATCACCCCCCGGCCCAGTTGCTATCCCAGGTGGAGGTGTTCCTCTGAACATGAGAGAAGTGGAGGAGCTGGAGAGAATGACCCAGGACTTTATTAAAAACATGGACAAACATGCACCTGTCATCACCTCCCCTCCGACAGGTACACACATTCATAAAGATTCAATGATATACGCACATTAATGTCTCACTGCATCACTCATCCTTTCTGTCTCTCACATGCCTGTCAGTGACTTGTTTAACACACCTCTATCTCACACCACAATTCTATGATCTAATTTAGATTAATGACTGATGTCAGTGTTGCTAATTACACTCATTAAGAAGCTGCCAGTATTCACATTATGCACCAGTTTTGCACAAAAAAACAGAAAGAGTTGATTGTGTAATAAAGTGCTGACAAAAATACAGAGTATTTGCGATAAGATTTTTAATGTCCCACACTGGAAATGTTCCAACACGCTTAAGGGAGAAAGAAATGATTTTCTTGTCAGTTTGCTGACCAGCTGCAAAATGCAAACCATTATGTATATCACAATTTCATTCACTCATTATTCCTTATATTCTACAGTCTAAGTTTAGCAGGCTTTTATTTTACGCTTCATTGTTTTTCTGCTGTAGTGTTTTTTTTCCTCCTTATCCACTTTTAGCTCACAAAGTTGCCATCTTAAAAAACTTAAAACTACATCTGTTTCATGAAACATATCACAACCAAGTCTGTACAACTGGCAAAATCTATAAAATGTTCAGTTTATTTGTGTAAATTGTTTAAATACACTATGAACTGTGATTAACAAAAGCAAGGCAGAGATAGAAGATGCTTTTTGCTGTTTGTAAATAAATGTACTCTCCTCAACCCACCCTCTCTCTCTCTCTTCCCACTGCAGAGGTTTGTGGGAAATGTGGCGAGTCTCTGTCACGTACTCAACCAGCAGTGAGAGCCATGGATAAACTCTTCCACTCAAACTGCTTCTGTTGCATGAGTTGTCATCGCCCCCTGCAGGGCATGCAGTTCTATGACAGGGATGGTTGTCCTCAGTGTGAGGACTGCTACATGGTGAGAACACACTCAGAAACAATACATATGCACGCATGATATTATTTGATGGTGCTGTTGTTGTGAACATGAAACAATGAGGTGTCATTGACCGAAGGATTCTCACTTTCTTTCTATCATTTATTGTAGCTACACACTTCATCATGGGGCAGTTTAATGAGATATGTTTCTAGTAAAAAGTTAAAAGTACACAGACGTCAATCAACAAACTATTGTGTAATCAACAAAACTCCCACGTATTCTTTGCATATTTAAAGTGTATATAAAGTGCTGAACAGTGTTGACACAGCGATTGTACCGTCTCGCTGTGTGTTTCATGTCTCTATCTATTGTTCCTTCTCTTCTTCCTCAGGGTTCCCTGGCTGTCTGTTCCCGATGTGGCGAGAGGATCACAGACCGTGTGCTGAAGGCAGTGGGCCAGTGTTTCCACTCCCACTGTTTCCGCTGCAGCACCTGTTCCTGCGTACTTGAGGGTGCGCCCTTCATCACCGACGACAACAACAACCCCTACTGTGTCCAGGACTACCACAGGTGGCTGCTGGCTCTTGTTTGCTCAGTTAATGACCTAATGAAACATTATCCAAGATTAATTCTCCTGATTAGTTTGACAAAAAAAAACTATTCTAGCAGTGTTTGTATGTGTTGTATATCATCCCTTTCATGGAACCATCGGAATCACTGATGAGACTGGATGTTGTAGAGGAAAGACACAGCAACACATCCTCCTCTCTTTGTCTGCATTTAATGAAACTTATTTGACAGCTTCCTCAAATGTGGATGAACGTGTGAGAATGTGAGGACGATGGACTGACAGACAGTTCTCATCCCTCTATTTCAGGCGTTTCTCTCCTCTGTGTGTGAGCTGTAATGAGCCCATCATTCCTGCCCCAGGCAGCGAGGAGACGGTCAGAGTGGTGGCTCTCGACAAGAACTTCCACCTCAAGTGTTACCGTTGTGAGGTAAGACAGTAATCATACTGAATTTTGTATAATAAAAAAAAAAACATCACGCAGTGCGTTCAGTAAAATGATAATGAATCTGTATTCTTTCGTTGTGTAGGACTGCGCTCGCCCCCTCTCCATAGAAGCAGATGAAAATGGCTGCTACCCATTGGATGGTAAAATCCTGTGTATGAAGTGCCACACCAAGCGAGCCAAGCAAGCTGCACAGTGATCGTGTGAAACAATGAACCAAATCCAAAAGCACAGGATTCACTCAGCTACCGATTTGCCTTTGCAACAGGGCTCTGTTCAGTATGTGTTTGCAGGTGTGAATGTGAATGTGCTGAGTGAAAGTGTTTGCATGCAGATACAGTGTAGTACTCCCCAGTCTCTGTTCACTTCAGTGCAGAAGTAATGTACTGCATTGGGTCATCGTTTATTCCCCATCTCGAACTCATCTATCTCTCATTTAGCCTTCGTTGTGAGCTAGAGCATATTTTTTGTACCAATCCCACGTTTACTCAAAAAATTTCCAGCATAACTTGCACAAGAACAGTTTGGTCAAAAAGAGCAGTGTGATGAAAATATAAAGTGGCCTTTCTTTGTTTTTCTGGCCTCAGCATTGTTGGTAGCACCATTTACTGAGATATTTCCATCTTAAGACTTTCACTGGCTGGTCTGTTTCCCTGTGAACGTGGTAACTACACTGATGTTACTGAAACAGATTGTTACCATAGGGTGAGGTGTTTTCAGAACCTCCATTCAACCATTCCACAGTTGTTACCACTCTGGCTCTGTTGATAGAGCACATCTTTAACACTTTGGCAGTTGCTGTGCCTGCAAGCATGGTTAATGATGCTATGATGCTTCCCTAGAAACTGCTTTCTATCAGCCGATCTACTCTGATACCTTTGTAAAGTCTTCTAGGGCTAAATGTTGACTGCAAAAACAGATAAAAACAGTGAATGTTGTTCTTAGTTCTTTGTGATGAGAATCTGTTCTTCTCTAGGCATGCATTGAATTATGTGTTGTTGCTTTCTTTACTTCATCATACAAGGCCAAGGCTAGAACAAAAAGATCAAAAAAATAGTTCAGAGCTGATTCAACGGTGTTAAGTATTTTAGATGCATGCTTTTTAGATGCACAAATGAACAAACAGACGAGCACAGATTTGCCACGCACAGATTCCATTCCAGGGATCTCGTAATTTAAAAACAGTGTCATTAAAGATATCAGCTGCATGGCTGAAAACAGGACCTATTATGTGATTATTGTTGCACCGCTTCATAGCGAAATAAAAATAGTGTCAGTTTGACTCTAAAGCCCCTGCACATGATAGAATTTAAGTAGACACCATTTAAAAACATAATAGTATAGTTTTTTGCAAATAATATTATTTAAGGACCCTTTTTTCTATTATATTAAGATTACATGTGTACCAGCGCAAAAAGAACCTGTTGTGACAACAGGAAATGGATCAGTAGAGGTGGTAGCTTTGAGCTTCAGGTAACAGATGTTAAAACATAGTGACCAAATATTTCGGCGCTGTTTGCATGATTGGGGTTTTCTAAAACAATCACATTCAATGTTTTTTGTATTTGAGCCCAGTTTATCTTTGGTCTGGATTTATCCTGATGATTCAGTAAATACCACTATACTTTCCACTATTCTTACTTCAGTCTGCTCATGACAGTTATATAGTATTTTATTCTTAATTCTTATGTTACTGTACTGTATTTCATTGATAAAAGCCTACAAATTATTTGTTTTCATTTCTAAGTTGGCGATGTTCCTCCACTCTCTCTCGTTCGTATTCCGTCGTTCCTCTTGAATTGAGCCGGATTTGCTGCCACAGAAGTGAACTCCTCAATAAGAAAACTGTTACTCGTGCTTTGCTTTGAGCCTGGTGCATTATAACAGAATGACTAACAGAACACAGCAATAGTGATTCAGCATTGCATGCTAACTGTGTAGATGGTGGGGGGAAATCCTCTAGTATTATGTCTTTTGTTTGCACAAACTCTTCCACCTCTGTGGCCCTGCCTTTGACATCACCATGTGATATTACACACATGATGATGCCTTCACGGTTGCATTTATCTGCCTTTTTATTGTGTTATGTCCTATTGTATTAAATGCAGATGCCTTGTCTTTTCATATACCTTTTTTTTTTATAAATTCCTGTTTAATATGTGTGAATGTGTATATGTTAAACAAAACATTTAGCCCCACCCCTCCCTCCTGTGGCTGTATCAAAAGATAAACTAAATGAATAAAATGCTAAATACCAACAGCTTTTTGTTTTCTCATCTTTAACTTCTACATTTATTTGAACTCAGGAGTCAACTAGTGTTTTCGACAGGTGTTTACTTCTGTCACCACATTCTCTCTGTCCATGTGACATCCATAAAACGAGTTTCCTCTGAGACTCTCAATGATGCGCTACACGACCTTCAGGATGCCAAACTGCTCTATCAGTTGTTAGCAGCCATGTGTTGCGCTGATAATGACGAAAGCGACGACAGCGGACGTCATCGCACGCCATTCAATGCAGTGTAACAATGTGTAAGCAAAAAAAAAAAGTGATGTGTTGGCCTTCACTTACCAGCCTCTGCTCGGAAGCCTCTGACCCTGCAGACAGGTGGACGAGTGAAAATACAAACCAGAATTAGAAGTCACAAACCACAAAACATCCATCTGTGAATGTCCCAGAGTGAAACCATAGTCTATGCTTGATTATCTGGGCTGTGGAGAGCAGAGTGAAGACGCAGCCTGCAGAGTTGTTTTTATCAGAGTCAGATGAGGAGAGAAGTGAGTGATGAAAAGAGATAGAGGGCTGAGATGACAGCTGTTTGACGGAGGGACAGCAGGAGGAGGCTCACATGAGAAACATCAAACGTCAAAGACAAGAAGATGCAACATGCCAGAGAAACACACAGCGTGACGTCCATATGTTAAGAATGAGTGAAACTCCAATAGAGCTTGAGGTAAGAACTTCACCGAAGGTAAAAGAACATGCCATGTTGTTATGAAGCCGTGTTTACTGTGTTCACATGGTGACGAGGCCAGTGTGGGTTTTACTTGATGGAAACTGGAGCAGAGACGTCCAAGGAAATTTTATTAGTCAAGTTTGGAGGTTTTTTTGAAGTTGTTGAGTGAGGTCTGCAGAGCTCAAACTGTCGAATATAAGGTTGAGAGCCAAAAGGCAAAGTGAAATTGTTTTAATCAGCATTTTCCAGTAAGTTTGGCACTGACACAAACATGCCACTGATATTCTACTGAACTGAAAAGTCTTATTTTGAACAGTGAGGTAAATGTCAATGCAGATATCTAACATGAAATATCAATCTTATAAATAATGGATGTGTTTGTGGTAGAGGTGACACATCAGTCTCGATGTTTGAGTGATGACCTGTAGATTAATGATCTGTGGCCCTGTGAGGTGGTACCGGATGATTGATTAGAAAAAAGAAGAAAAACAATAGTCAAAATGTTGCTTAAATTTTTTTGCTTTTCTAACAAATCTTTGCTTGAAATAGTGGAGATGTTTATTAAAAGGAAATTTCTCATGAAGCCTGGGAAGGAAAGAACCGTTCACAGCTCATAAATACATAATGGAACTTGTGATGACGGGTCAGAGGTGAACACTGAACCATTCTTGTGAACATGATATCTCAAGAACGCTTCGAGGAAATTAAAATTCAATTTTCACTTGGACTCAAGAATGAACCTATTTTAATCTAGTGGGACAAAAGTCAAGCTCCCTTTGACCTCATAAAGCACAGTTTTTGCTTTGTGAACACAAAATCTCATGAACTTCTTAAAAGGAATTTCTTCAAATTTTGCACAAACATTGACTTAGACTCACAGACTAACTGATTGGAATTTGGTGGTCAAGCCTCAATGTTACAGTGGCCTCACAAAAATGTTTTGGTCCTCTTGAACAGGAAATCTCAAATCTGCCCTTGAGGGATTTCTTCAAATAGTCAAAAGTCACGGTGACCTCTTATGACTTTGGAAAACGTATAAATGTATATAAACTGGAACTGCACTGGTTTGTGGATGCATACAACCACCAGTATTTGGTTATTTATTTGAAGAAATTCCATTTACTATACTTTAGATATTCATATTTAAGAAACAGAATCATGGTGTTTTTGTGAACCCGTTTACAATCTGCTTTCACCTGCTCACTTCCAGCTTCAGCTATCAATCCAGGAATCTACACAGCCAGAAGTTGAGAGGGGGGTCCAGCCACCCCCAACCCAGGATCCCCCTGAGACCCAGCTCCAGCCTGAGATACAGCTGTCAGAGTCAGGCCTCGAGCACCAGCCCCAAACAATGTCACTGTGGATGAAACATCGAAGGCTGCTTCTCCTCTTGTGGGGATTTTCCTTATGTGCGGCCTTGTTGGGATTAATTTTCTATATCCGCCAGAATCAAAATAGGAGCAATAATCAGCCAGGCACTGGTAGGTCTCCAGAGACAGTTTAAATTCAGACCTTATTACTGATTGCTTTATCTAACTCTTCTCTCACTCTTTCCTACAGTGTCTCCATGTCTCTCCTCGGCCTGTCAGTTGGCTTCGGCCCGACTGTCCGCTGATCCTTTCACTGAGCCATGTGACTACTTCTTGTTCACGTGTGGATCTGGCAGACTCACACAAGACAGTCGGGGGAGAGACAAACGACAGGGCATTCCTGGACATCCACAGAACCAGAATGGAAAGTCGGCATGGCCAGAGAGGAGAGGGCAAAGGTCACATAGAGAGGAGAAGATGATGGACAGGAAAACGGTGCTGCTGCAGTATCTCAGGGAGATTTTGGGTAGCAAAGAAAATGTCCTCTCATGTCTTCAACACTGCATAGTGAGTGTGTTACATGTCACTGAGTTGTGTGTTTTTTTTACAGAATTGAATGACAGCGCCAGCAGTTCAGCCGTGCAGAAGGCCAAAAGCTTCTTCCATTCCTGTTTGGACACAAGATCTATAGAGACTGCTGGTGTGGAGCCCTTCCTCACACTCATCCAGAAGGTATGACTCTCATATCCAGTTTTCAAGCAAGGCCCTGGCTGATGATTCCCCAAAACATGTTGTCAGTGTTCCCTCACCGCCTCTGTTCTCAGAGGTTAAGAGAAATCAGTTTTCCATCATTAGGTGACATGGTAAAAAAATTAGGTCAAGAAAAAAAGTCGATATCGATAATTATCAGGATAAATGTCACTTTATTATTTCATTGCAGTTTAAACAAACACTTGATAATCAGCAAAACATTTTGAAAATCTGAAGTAGATCAATTTTGTGTTATACCTCCTCACTGTTCTACACACTTCATGAGCATTACCTCAACATACATTGGACTTTTATTATCATGGTGTTCAGCTTCTCAGGAGACACTCAGAAATTGGAAAACCGTGAGCTTTCAGGTTCGGACTAATGTCTGCACTTAAAGAACTCCACTGGCAAACTGTGATAAGCATTTGTTGCTGTTTGTCTCAGATGGCAGAAGCATTGTTTGTGAGAGACATGTTATTACGTTGTTTTGTGTATTTTTATATTCAAATATTTCCTCCTCAATCTTTACTTCTCTGTGCAGCTGGGAGGTTGGGCGGTATCAGGCCAGTGGAATAACACTGACTTCAACTCCACCCTGAGTCTGCTGATGAGAGACTACGCCACATTTCCATTCTTCAACCTCTACGTGGGCAAAGACCCCAAAGAAATTGCTCATGGGCGAATCAAAAGATACATACAGGCCGGTGTCTTTTAGGAGAGTTTGTGCATCTATAATGCTGGTGGGAGTAGTCTCTGTGTTGTTACTTATCCAAAGTCTCCTCTTCATCAACAGATCGATCAGCCAGATCTGCTGATCCCGACTGAATGGAACAGCATGAAGCAGAAATCTCAAGTTAAAGCTCAGGTTGTGTTTCAGTGTTTAATGTTCTTCTCCTGTTAGCATGTTGGCTAAACTGTGTTTTG